CACAGAGAGGAGGAGGGGGTCAAGCTATATTCCAAAGCACCGAACAAGGAATAATGGATGGAAACTGATCGAGATTCAACCTGGAAATAAAGGGGAATTTCCTGACAGTGAGAACAATCAACCCAATGGAACAGAAGTTGCCTTTGGAAGTTGTGGCAGCTTCATCACTGGAGGCTTTCAAGAAGAGACTGGAGATCCATCTGCCAGAAATAGCCTCCTGCTTGGGTGGGGGGTTGGACTAGATGACCTACAAGGTCCCTTCCAACTCTATTCTGATTGATTGATTCAAGCTGGAAATAAGGAGACATTTTCTGGCAGTGAGTAGATTCATCCCATGGAACAGAAGTTGCCTTTGGAAGTTGTGGCAGCTTCATCACTGGAGGCTTTCAAGAAGAGACTGGAGATCCATCTGCCAGAAATAGCCTCCTGCTTGGGTGGGGGGTTGGACTAGATGACCTACAAGGTCCCTTCCAACTCTATTCTGATTGATTGATTCAAGCTGGAAATAAGGAGACATTTTCTGGCAGTGAGTAGATTCATCCCATGGAACAGAAGTTGCCTTCAGAAGAAGCTTCATCACTTGAGACTTTTAAGAAGAGGCTGGACTGCCATCTGTCAGGAATGGTGTAGGGTCTCCTGCTTGAGGTGGGAGGGGGGTGGACTAGATGACCTACAAGGTCCCTCCCGACTCTGTTCATCAGAGATACGTCCAGTGATTTTAGCCAATGGAAGAACTTGCTCCAAACCCAAAACGTTTCAACTTACGGCTCAAGAGTTAAACACGCCGGGCGAATGGACCCATGAGATGTTTCGCCACTTAGCAAAGCAGGGCAAGGAAGCGGCGTTGTTTAAGTGGAACAGAAGGCTTGGGCATCTCCGGCCAGCGCTGTTTCCGGCACGAGACTTTGTCACCGGTGTTCGCAGGGAAGCGGCTTCTCCACCACCCATATTGGCATCTGCAGTTTCTGCCATTGAGGCTCCCATAAACACAGATGGAACGGATCCTCCACAGCTGCCCTGGGGCAGTATAATGGCCCCATGTTTTCCGATGAACACTTTAAAAGCCGCCTGTCTCTCCCAAGCCTTTCTCCCCTCCTCCTGGTTTTTTGGGGGTTGGTTTTTTCTCTCTTTTTTTTTTTTGCAAAGCTTCCCCCCCTCCCTCCCTCTCTTCCTCCCCCTCCCCTGCCAGTTGCTGTCCCTCTCTTTGCAAGCGCGTCCCACCCATGCCCCCTTTCCAGCTGGCATCCACCAGCCGCCCTTCTCCAGCCCAGCCAAGAACGGTGAATAATTAACACAGCAGCTGGGCTCTGGGTGGATGGCAGAGAATCAAACGGAAACGGCGCCAATGACTTGGCTTGCCGGCGTTTCCTCGGCTGTCCTTTCCCGGACCCCAGCCCGTTGGCCTTGACCGAGTCGGTGTGGGTGACCGGTTGTGGATCGGGGGCCCTCCGTGGCAGAATTTTTAATCTGTGGCTGTTGAGATTTTGGGGTGGAGAGGGAAAGAAGGAAAGAAAGAGAGGGAGAGAGAAAAAGATGGGAAGGGAGGAGAAAGAGGAAGAAAAGATGGATAGAAAAAGATTCTGAGGAGGTAGGGAAGGAAAGAGAGAGAGAGAAAGTGAAAGAAAGAAAAGGTGGATAGAAAAAGATTGTAAGGAAGGAAGGAAGGAGAAAAGAGAAATAAAGAAAAGATGGATAGAAAAGGATTCTGAGGAGGTAGAGAAGGAAAGAGAGAGAAAGCAAAAGAAAGAAAAGGTGGATAGAAAAAGAATGTAACAAAAGAAGGAAAGAGGAAGGAAGGAGAAAAGAGGAAGGAGGAAAAGATGGATAGAAAAAGATTCTGAGGAAGTAGGGAAGGAAGGAAAGAGAGAAAGAGAAAAAGAAAAGAGATGGATAGAAAAACATTTGGAGGGAGGAAGGAAAGAGAAAAAGAAAGAAAAAAAGAAGGATATAAAAAGATTCTAAGGAAAGAAGGAAAGAAAGCTAGAACAAGATTCTGATGAAGAAGGAAGGAAGCAGAAAAAAGAAGAATAGAGTTTGGTGAAGAAGAAGGAAGGAGAAAGAAAAGATAGGAAAAGATTCGGAAAGGAGGGAGCGAGAGAGAAAGATGAATAGAAAAAGATTCTGACAGAGGAAGGAAGGAAGCCTTCTTTTTCTCCTAATCAATGTGGACTAGAAAACTTGCCTTTGGTGCCCTTTCAGTGGAAACAATGGCTGTTTTTATAACCCTGTTCTAAAATCCAACAATATTTCAAAACCTTCTTTTTCCCTTGAATCGGTGTGGACTAGAACCTTGCCACGGGAGATGTTTCAGAGGCTTTGAGATGGGCACATGTGCCCGGCGATGTCACTCGACTCCAAATACCTGAACGGGCATCTTGAAACTCCATATTTACCTCAGTTTGTTTTTTACCTCATGTTTTTCACCTCATGTTTTTCACCTCATGTTTTTCACCTCATGTTTTTCACCTCATAGTTTACCTCATGTTG